TATAATTAAAAATGTGAGAGACCCAATTATCTAGCTGATGCTCCACAGGTGTTTCTAACTGTAAAAACCCCAATTACTGTGCGTAGACAGTAATTCTATACATAACCCACGACTGTAAGGCCATATATATTTTCGAAAATGCCATCAGATGACTCCTTAGACGTGAAGTGATTAGGGTTTTATTGGTTACTGTCGAACATATAGCACTAGAACTAATCCAAGTCTCTATGCATTGCTGAGTGTCAATGACTTAACAGATACCTTGGAAGACAATTGCGTCTTTTCAAGAATCGACTTGGTTTAAACAAATCGAATTCTTACGGCTACGGACGATATCCCTGAAACGGCCATTGACACTACCAAACTCCACGAATTTTAGTATATGCTTTTCGGTTCATGTGCTGCTTACACGTCCCAAAGATCCGTCACCAACTCATTCAGAGGTCCTGACTGTGCACGAATGTGTTGATCACTGTATGATCTCAAATCCGAACAGAGAACCATATCTTCATCATTTAAACCTATTTTCCAAAAACTTCAAAGACTTGAATTTAGGGCGAATATAAAGAAATGTCGAATCTGGATCTACTCACTCAACTGTTGTCAGCATACCCTTAACACTCAAGACATTTGCCTCCATAAAAATAAAGTAGATACCACTCTGGATTACTTGGAGCTGTTTATAATTCGACAATCGGATTTGTCTTTACCGATCGGCTTATACGGAATCGGGTACCTCTAATTAGATCATTAACACACCTACTTCGTGCAAATGCAAGAGACACAGCTGATCTAAGCTACGTACATTACAGTTTTGACAGTGGAGTAAACCATCGTCGAAGCAACTGCGTTTGCATACCTAGATAGCAAAGAACTTTTTAATATATGCGTCTAAATGATCTTACTCATAGGAGTCTTTTATGAAATGGCAGGAGAAATTGATTTTGAGACATTCACAAGACACTTAATTGCCCTATTGTAATGTGTTGTGTTGCACGGCATTTTCAACACTTAATGACGGACTGAAAACCGAACTTACCTCCCAATTTGCCTTTGGACAAGCACTTTCCTGAGAGTCTTGATGAATATAACGCATCTTGCACTTTAGAGGTGCAACATATTTCTAGGGCAAACCATGTACTCGCAGGCTCATCATCTTATGTAACATCCTGGAATATCTTTTGAGAAGCTAACCTTCCTGAAAATCTTCCAGGTTCTAAAGGAGAAATACACCTATTTTGAGCACGAGCTATCATTCACGAAAATGAAATTACGAATCAAAAAGATGACAAGGTGGTAAAAAGAATAATTTGTATAGCACATCTACAGTGAGGGATCGTCCAGTCGTACAGGAACAATAAAAACTGAATTCCTTCAATATGATACACAAAATTTGGGATCCAGATTTTCGAGTAACCATAAAGCTCATAGACGAACGACTTCGCTATTCTGTTTTAAAAAAGACGCGATGATGTTGGCACGCTCCTATGTAGGTGCTTCATAGGATGTTTCACATACCCTGACCAGTGTTTCAACCTTGTCCACTTTGACTTGGTGCGATTCTTAACAACGTATACTCATATCTCATTACCTGTATGGACCATCTCACACAACCACCTGGAATAACCCATATCGAGGACATTAGTATTATGGCGGACTGATACAAATATGGAGGTACTTTAACTCAGTTAATTATTCAGAAGGTATAAAAATAATTAGTTAATAGAATACAGGAGTGAGTGTTCACATGTCAAAATATATTTCCACAACTATGACATTGTAGGCACAATAATTCTAAGGAATATCGGACGTAGATTCAGAGTGTTCATGTGTAATTGACAAGAAATATTTTGTATGACGTGAGCTAAAATGTGTCAAACGAGATTGTTAGATATCATTATTTTGGATATTTAGATATTTGTTCGTGGTGTATGTTCGCGCGTGTTGGTTGTATTAGACAGGTGACAAGAAAGGTTTCTTATTTGTTGGTGAAATTTTTCGATGAGGCTGTTAGCTGACGGATCGTAAGCAATTGTTGTCATGTTTCACTTACCATCGTAGACTCCAATTTCAATCAGCTTATTTCTGAGAATCCATTGGACTTTTATGAACATAGTACATAGCGTTAGCATGCAATGGCTGGAAGTTGCTTACTTGGAAGACAACCTGTTACCTGTCGACCTTTCTACTACACTATTGAACGACATATTTTTCAGAAATACTATCCAATCTTCGATGGTTAACAAATACGACAACACTACGCTAAAGTCTTCAAACTTGAAATGATGCGCACGGAAAGAAGGGCAGTTACATTTTCTCTAAAAGTATGACAAAACCATAAAATGACGCAAAGAGAACAAAAAACAAAATGATTCCCGAAAATTCGGTCATTACGTTTACATTGCGGTGCTTTCTATGAGCTTGATATAGCTGGAACCATAAGTTCTTCAAATTCTAATTGACTCAAGAAGCTGTTATATTACAAAATGACCCAACGAATTAACTGTTCAAACTAGGACATTGCTGTCTGTAATCTTATCTTTTTCCGAGTTTTATTGCTTTCTTGTTTTTAATAAGCAAATTTTGATCTCTTTTACTCCTACATGATATTTGTTTGTACCTTCTACGCTGCTAGCTGTCAAGGTTAAATAACCACCGTCTATTTGAACACTTCAACTGTTACTGTTAGTCACCACGAAAGTACAGTCTACTGAATTTCTTTCCATCGAGTGTTTCTCGTTATTAGTGTCAAAATCAGTCATTAGACTCATAAACGATTCTGATCGTTCAGTAAACGTACGTTTAAATTTATTTGAGTGTCTTTATATTTATCAATTTATGTAGTAGGTTTACTGACTTGCGATAATCCTTGAGATATATTTTTGTTTAAGGTTCTGCCTATTTCCAAGTTTGGCTACTGTTGAGGTTGATAACACGTCTTCGGTTAAAGTGTTTTATTCGTATATCACCCGGTCTAAAAAGTGTGATGATGTCACAGGTATTCAGTGTTTGACAACGCTTCTACCAGTAACACCCTCTAATATATTTCGTTCCCACCCAGAGAAATCAAAAGACAGAGTCGAGGAGATCGGAAGAGTATATTTGGCAATGACCAATATATCGGAATTCTCTGATCTAATCTGGCTAGCGATTGCGGTTGATGTTGAGCACGGCGTTACCACACGTGATCTGGTGCGGATGCCTGACCGAGCGCCTTCAGCTAGACGAGTCCACTAAAACATATGGTCAGCATCCAATGTCGAAAACTTAGTGCTATTTATTTTGGGGATTTATTTACCGCTACAAGTGCGTCTCTTTGTGATCTTGATCAACTTAGAAGGAATAAAAAAACTTAAAGTTGTTGAATCTTGATCGTCCTATAAAATACAGGATAAGGACCTGATTATTAGATAATTTGAGGGAAATAGGTTCAGTTTTCTCAGTATTTCTTTTTACCGGTTATTTTGTTAATAAGTTAGTATCTGACAACTAGAAATGCTTAGAAGCAATGTAATGTTCTATTTACTATTGATTAGCCATTAGATAAGTATAGTATATATGAGTTATTCTGTAGGTGTATTATAAAATTGATTGCCTTTCTTCATCAAGTCATCCAAAGACTCTTAGATGTTACCAAAGCAAACGAAATGTTTTAAAAGCTATGCGTTGCCCTGTGTAGTTGTTCTCAAGTAATGGATTACAGTAACATCTAAAATATTATTCTCCATAACTTGCAATAATGGTGCACTACCGATAGTGTACTACTGTCCACTGTTGTGTCCTGTTGGCATTTCTGATTTAGTTTATTTATCAGGTTTTAGACTATCTTACCAGTTTACTCAAATTAATTTAAGGTCCTAGGTTATCAGTATTGATAAGCTTTTTGTTATAAAGGTAATATTTTTAACCGCATTATACAGAATTACTGGTTATATTTTGATTGTATATTTATTAAACACTCGGATTGTTGTATACTTCTATAATTTTGTTTGATTGATTTTGTTTATGGCTCAATCACTGTTGTATTTCTTGTCTTCTCCATGTTTTCACTTAATGAGTGACCTACGTTTTCCTTCATCTATCAAGTACTTATTCAAACATTGCAATTTCTTACATTTGCTGATGTGTAGTAACGAAACTGCTCTATTGTACCATGTGGGCTTGAGACACAAGAAACCGTCATACAACAGGACAAACATATTTTAACTGACGTCATCTTTTTATTAAGCACTGGGTTGGAAGGAGCTCGATGCCCGTTAGGCCTTACGATCTCGATTGTTGTTTGTTGGTCTCTGTGTCGGTCCTACATTCATAGAGGGAACTAAGAAATTATAACGATGTACAACACAGATGCTTCCTTAATAACGTCCAGAGTCGGTTAAAAAACTGTTCTTTTTGAAGATATGACAACACTAACCTCAAAACCATTGGTTTGCCTGTAAAAATGGGTGGTGACGCCTTAAACAGTTTTGCGAATTCTTTTGTGCAGTATGTCCTCTTTTTTTGTTGTCGTTAATGGTATGATTTAAAATGAGTTAGCATAAGCAACAGTGACATGGGCCCGAATTACATGTTAAATGTGACGCTACCTTTTCAACAAACACAGGGCCATGCATTACTTTGACCTCACATTGTTTGACTTCAGGTGTTTTGTTTCTGAATCAATCCAGAAATACTAACCACTACAATAAATCACATTGCTTACAGAAATCAATATTAATATGGAGTTAACCTCGTATACAGCTTACAGATTGATCTGCATAAACCTTGTATAGACACGCCTAACCTTGCGTAAGTGTTAACCAAAAAGAAAGAAAACCTTGATTTTATACTTCAAAAGATCATTCTTCATTATAACCACTTACTTTCAGATGATCCTTTCCGCTATATACTGGAACAGTCACTTGTTAACAACTTTCTGATTTCAAGGAGCATCCAAATTTTTCTCCAACTAATAAAGAAAATCATTTCAAACAATCTCTAGAGTTTCTGAAAGCGAAATGATTATCCGGAAACCAAGAATGGTAATTTTTGTTTACTTTCTCAGCTGTTAATTTATTGCCCGTATTCTCGCACTTGTGTTCAGGCTTGAATTTTTTCTTTCTCTACTAGTGTTGTTCACTTGAAGTGTGTCGGGTTAATCTATTATTAGGTTATATCAACTGTGATTACTAAAATTATAGGTGGAAGACTTGAATTATAACTATTTTATTCGAATTATTTACTTTATATTTTAAAAAATAGGTGATAGTTTTTGATCAGAGAAAGTTACATCTTTCAGTCGTCAAATTAGTTCTTATATATGATTTGGTCACTACAAAGTTGTGACGAGGGTTTACTTCGAGCAACAAATTGAGTTTTCAATATAAGTGAACCAGGACTATATAATGATGTACTGATAAGCTATAAGTACATTTCTAACCAGCGCGATGTTTATTATAGGTTTTCTATTGTCATTTCATCGAAGAGTCAAAGACACTATTAAGACCTGTTAAAAATGTCCATCAGGCTCTATTGTTAATCAAATGTTCTAAACATAACGTCACTATCTCTTAACTTGCTAAAAAGTGTTTCACTTATTTCACAAAGCTGTCTACTCATCAGTTTACTCTAGGTTTTCGAAAAGCAATCTCTTATCATATGAAATGTAAGTATTTATTTTGTTAGATTCCTATTGCTGAAAATATTATAATTATCTTTGTTTCGAATTCAATTTTACATCTGTATGTCAAATTTCAAGATTATAGCTTTCCTGCTGAATATTTTCTGAAATAAGCATAAATAGGTGGCATCTAACAGACTTAAAGTAAAACAGTTAATAATAGAACATTGATGTAATAAAGCTGTAAGTCATCAGGTAAAGCTTTCCTGCCATTTAAAAGTATGAAAAATGAAAAGAAAATCTAGGAAATGTATGTTAGACTTTTATTATAAAGTATTTGCTTGGTTCATCACGTAGACATGTAGATGACGATTTCCAAATATCCTATAATCTTTTAGCCTATAAGTGTGAATCAGTGACTGGTATTTTAACGGTTTTCAACTGAGGGAAAAACAACAATGCTTGTAGGTCACAGGTAAACGATTTTCAGGAAATGTTTCAGTGTGAACAATTAAGAGGCTTCATTTTAGAATAAGATAACTGTAAGATGTTCTTATGATTGTCTAGTCTCAGTTAATGCATAGTGTAAACTATGAAATTTCTAGTAGTCTGACTAATAATTATGTGATCTTACTAAGAGTGAAGTTAACGTTGTTTCGTCCTTAAACATATTAGTTTAAGAGAGGAAATGGAATTATTCTTACCTATAAATGTTGCGAGTATTGAAATGTATGAATAAATCCCCTGTTTGTTGGCAGACATGAACCTTTAAAAAAACGTAGAATATATTTGTACTAACCAACAGTTGGCTACTGATTTCTACACATTACAGTTAGTGACGAATGTTTCCGTTACTAAAAAATATGATCTAACACTAGACAAAACTCGAAGGGAATTCAGTTCTTATTCTTAGACTATCTAATGTGGTATGGCTTCAGCCAGGGATCAAAAATTCTCCAAAGTATATATATAACAGTCTCAGAGAGATCGTGATCATTAATGGGCATATAACCTGATCTTTTAAATTTATGATGACTGTGTCTAGTAGCAAAAGACTAAGCAAAGAATACCTTGACTAGCGGTAAATAATTGACAACAGGGTGTTAGTAACCATGAATCAATTTATTTGGGTTGAACAACTTTGTTTAGTGACTACACCACACAAATATTTGAGATATTGGCATAGTAATGATAATATGACCCATATTTTCTATATTTTAGTGAATCATAGATTATTTATCAATTCAGAAATTGGTTTTAAATTTGTTCAATGAACTTAGACTTTGTTATTTGATTAAAGCAAACTTAGTGTGAATACTACATTATTTTAAACGTGACCATACCAAGACTGTATAAAACTGTATTGACAAAGTGAGTGTCTGGTTAGTCAATCCTACGTTATATAAGTCATCGGTACAAAATCGTCAGAAGTGAATGAGTGTTTCTTATCTAAACGATTCAATGAAACGCTAATCAGTGACTGAGTTTCCATGGAGGTATATTCCATGTATTCATTTTGTTATGTTATTAGTGTGCAGAAAACATAAACCTCTAGAAATAGTTGTTTAAAATCTTTCAGTGATTTAGATTTACACTCTATTTCATTTGTTGATCACAAATTATTGACAAATAAATTTTCATTTATCAACCAAAATGATAATAGAAATCTTGGGTAAAGAAATCACCTCATTATCCAGTAAGCATTTTTATTCAAAAGGATTTTTTATTCAACCAATTTCTTCATGTTTTGAATTTTTCCTTACTTCAGATTAAATTTCAAAGATCTTTGTATATAATACTCCTTTTATTTGCAATTGCTTTATCTTACTATATTTTAATTGGAGTTTACACTGTAATTGAACCTGATATGAATAGTACTAAGAAAACATCACAACAAATTTTATTTATTGGAGGTTATCCAAGAAGTGGTAAGTATACAACTTGGTTTTTCTTTTTCATAAACGCTAATAATAAAACTAATAGTAAAGCTATCAGTTATCGTTGTGAGGTACTTTATATCGAGAACTTTACTTCAGTATGTGCAACAAATGGTAATATGATACTTGATATGTGGAAACTGGGCGTTGATTATGATAAACGCATGTATAAGAGGTTTTACTAAACACATTTAATGCCCTGAAACACAGAAATTCATTTGCTGAAATTTTATATTTAAGGAATTATAATATAATGTATAGATTTAGTCCCATTTTTTATAAGATGGTACTTAGTATTTCAGAGAAAATATTCTTTTGGTTTCAAACATATCTCCGTGTTGCTCGGAAATTTCTAATCGTTTATTGACATGCCAATGTTATGCGAGATAACAGTGATCTTTCATTTTGAATTTCACTGTATAGATTAGTTGTTGAATAACGTTTTCTTAGTGTACAAGAATAAAAAGTAACGATAATTTACTTAGTATATTTCCTTCAGAATGTTAGATTCATGTACTTGACGAGAAACTGTTATTTGCAATAAAGAAGAACATCTATAAGCTTACACTTATTTAGATCCATCTATAACTTTTTCCACCTGGAACGAATTTAATAACTGTTCGAATTCGGAAACTTTTATCTTAGTTGATATTTTGATACATTACTGGGAAATCAGAAAGTTTTCTTTATAAATTTCATCTTATTAACAATATGTTTAAAAGTCAGAAACACAAGTGATAGGTTCTTCTCTCATAATATATATAAATTATTTTAATACCAATGGGACTGACTTTATGAAGTAGAAGACAAAACAATCATTATTGTTATTCACAAATATACGGGAATTCAATTATAATGGAAAGTGTAATCGACTAACGGTGGGTGGAGTTACAGGTAATCTGTTAGGCACTATATTGGCTGATATTTGTATAGGACATCCACAAAATGCCAAACTCAAAGATGCAATAAAGTAACGTCAATATAAGTTGATGGAACTATCACTGTTTATAATAACAAAGACCTTTCTAATCAGTTGCTTAAGTGTTTCAATTTGCTTCACCTGAATTCAAAATCCACATCCGATCACTAAATTAAAAGTCAGATGAGTTTTTTAGACAAAATGAGCAAAAAACGAAGATGTCTGAGGTTCATCCCTCATATATGTAAGGCTTCCTGGAAGGGATGATACTCATATTTCTATAGACTTTTTACCTTAATATAAAACAAATCTCTTCAGAATGTTGTATGTGGGGGTAGACAGGTTTTTTATTTTAAAAGTTTACTAGATGGTGAAGTGTAAATTATTTAAGGAATGTCAGTCATGAATAGCTATTATATGGATTTTAAATGTAAACATTTCAAGTCAAAAAATAGGATAACAAAACAAGACATGGACCCTAAAAATAATACGTTTGACAAACTTCCCTTCAACATTGCTCTGATTTTTCCCGCTGTCAATTTTATGGTTACATATGAAACAAAAAGCCTACCCATGAATAAACTTGGATAATATACAACATCTAGTTACTTTCAGATGTACTTAATTATTTACATTATTCGCAAATTGTTTAAAATTTAGTTTCATTTATTTCACATATGACGTCTACAAACATCTATCACCTTTCTCACGAACTTGTATTTATTCACAATAATGATTTCACTGTACCCTGAAATCCTGTTTTTACTGATAATTTATGGTTGTCATAACTAGTGTTGACATTTTAACGTTATTCAAATGTTTAATCTCCTCAGCAATATAATCATTCAAGTAATTGGGTTCACCTACTATTATGATTGCCTCATTATTTTTTTGGTAATTACTATCAATTTTATTATTTTATCCAGTATGTATATGTCTTCTGTACTCAATGACTTCATATTCTCTCTATCACTGTTATTCTGTTCATCTACGAATATAGACAATAATTGTACCTTTCTTCCCTTGCGAACTAAGTGACTTTATAATTGTTATGAACGAAATGAGGTCTGTAAAAGAATTTCATTTATTTATAAAAGTCATTGCTTATGTTGATCATTTTATTTTATCTCTGAATAGTTGCCGTTTGAGATTGACAGAAGTAATTTATTCATTGACTTAGGTCAAGTAATTTTTGATTGCATAATAGTGTCTCCGGAGACCGTATCATGGGAACAAATTAGCATAAAATTCGTATAATCTGACAGTTGTTAATTTTTATGTAAAGAATGCATACGTTGCCTACAAGTCTTTTTTCATGCCCATAAGCTTTTCTATTTCGTTCATTTAACATTTAATTATGGAAGGTGACATTCAGCAACTATATTTTATGAATTGTTGATTCATTCCCACTTAATTAATTTTATATTTATGTATATGTGGTCATATATATGGTGGGAAGAGTGATTATGACTTAAAATTATTAGAATTAGAGATATACCGAAAATATTACAAAATTAAATATATTCCAGTTACCCAACAAGAACAAATGAGAAACACTTATTCTTCTCCACTTTGAACAACCAAACACTTAAAGTGCGAATACTTCAGTTTATTGAAGGCATAGCTGTACAAATGTTTGAATCTTTATTGTGTGTTCATAAACAATCGGTACATACAAGACACCCATTGGAGATTAATATGATATATACTGTTATTTTAATGTTTCACTTATATCTACTTTAACCTTTATTTTTTATGAGGATACATTAAAAAATATTAATATGTGATCAGGTTCATTAAAATATGTTGTACCAATATATCACATAGTTCTGATAAACTCTGACTACTCACTCCACTATCTGCATTCATATTCATTATCAAAGTTTGTATAAAATGAGTAATATGATTACTCAGTAGTTATATTATTTAAAAGTATTTTATTCTTTTCATGCAGGCACTACTCTTATGCGTGTCTTGCTAGATGTACATCCAATGATTCGATGCGGTCCTGAAACTAGAGTAATACCCAAAATCCTCAACTTACGAGGTGAATGGGGTAAAGGAAAAGAAAGTGAACGACTTACAGCTGCTGGTCTATATCCCGTTGCAGTCGATTCTGCTGTACGATCATTTATATTATCTTTAATCCAAAATGCTGGAGAAAATGCACTTGTTCTGTGTAATAAAGATCCACTATCATTTATTTACCTTGAATATTTGGCGGAAATATTTCCTGAGGCAAAATTCATCCACATGGTACGTGATGGGCGTGCTGTGATTAATTCACTAGTAAAGTAAGATATCAGTATTCATACCAGTCACTTACAAAATAACTACATATATCTTACGTCGTTTAACTCACCTGAACTAGTGAGCTCACTTTAGTCAAAATATTATTTTAATTTAGATCGATCGTATAAAATATTCGAATTTTATTAACAAGTTAGTATAGATTAGATAGAATGTGACTAGCACTGGAATTTCAGACCTGCTTTCCGTGTTAGTTGGGGCTCGTCATCTGGAAATACCTACCACTTTAATTTTAAATAAGCATGTCGATTGTAAATATTATACATATTGATCATGGCTCTGTGATTTTACTTCCTGATAATAGATATTTTAGAACTGATATGTGGGAAAAAGCAAATTATAGTGATAACATTGTGTTGAAAGAGAACACAAGTGAAGACAACCAAATTATATTCAGCGCAACATTGTACAGTTACTTGGTAAAATAGAAAAACCATACTATAATTCCCAATTTGCAAAATGTTCATTAGTTGTCTCAGACTTTATTGTTCTTGCATTTCCATACCAAATGCTTTCTATTCCTATCCTTTCTTTCTTGATCTTCCCAATCTTCCACTGTCAGACATTACATTCCTGACTCGTGTTATATACTACTTACGTCAGTATAAAAAGCACGCACCACAACATCGGAATTGGAATTTTCAAAAAGCTCTACATGGAAGAAAAAACTGCATACAGTTGTTTGGGTTACATTGTGTACAGATCAAATTATAGTCAATTCCCCAGAAATGATCTGTGGTGACTACCAGTTAAATAATAAGTGAAAATAAAAATGTATGTGCATTTAGCACTTTATTTGTCTGGAAAGTTTCTTAGTAGAAAATATTGATCTATGATAAAATTAATGTGGATATAAAACAGTTTTATAAGGCATTTATCAATCTCCTCTCCTCTAACACTGACCAGATTTATAATATTTATCATAATGCACTTACACTAAAAAAAGTGTTTCCACTGCTCTTCCTTGACTGTGAGACACATAGATTGTTTCCATATGCAATTCAACTTACAATTTAACCAATAAATTCTTTAAAACCATTGAATTCTTCGTAAAACAACCAAAATAGTACGGTTTCATGTATTTATCAGACAATCAAAGACCATAGCATACTGTAAAAGTGATTACTGAACTTTGTATTAAATATAAATACATCAGTTTTATCGATATTTCTTACTTTCATTTATTCAAGATTGACAATAAAATGAAATGTAGAATGGATTAGTTGATAAGTGACTTTTCTAGTTAAACATGCTTCATTTCGCTATTAATATATGGTTGTTTTCTTTTCCATTATTAGTTGAAACACAATATTGTCATACAATCAAACAGTAGCTATTATAACAAGCGTTGTATATTGAAAACTGACTAAGCAGTCATGTAAAAAGAGATTTATAATTCATAAAATACATTATTTTAATTCAGAGTATGTTTTGACTTCATAAATCTTGAATTTAGACTGTCCAATTTTTTTTAGAAAAAAAAGATTATTTTGATTAGACTTATTATTAGCGCGAATAAACATGTATAAATAATGAAATACTTTACATAGTAGTTATTAGTTTAACTGTTATAATGACAAAATAGATTGACAGAGCAATTGGAATCACAATTAATTGATCACTGGGTGGCGATCAATGTCATGCGTGTCTAGTCCTTATTAGTGCAGATCGAATGCTATCGACCATGTTGCAGTGTGGCCACAAGCCTAGGTGACTTGACACTGCGTGCACTATTGTGAGATTAGATGGTGTTTGGAGGTAGTCGACAGGAAACCCTGGACCTGGGTTTCTTGATACTTGGCACTCGTCAGCAAGGTGTACCTGTAATCTTACAGGAGATCGATCGCGGCTTGGATAGCTCAGTGGTAACGTCTCTGACTGTGAAGCTGGGTGACACGAGATCGAATCCGCCAGGGAGCACCAGTTCCCTCAAGATTACAGGTACACCTTGCTGACGAGTGTCAAGTAGCACGAAACCTGGGTCCAGGGTTTCCTGTCGACTACCTCCAACCACCATCTAAAGAATAATTGGAATATTCTGAGGCTGTTCCATTCATTTCAATAGTTAAAACAATTATACATCAAAATACAAAGTGACTAAACAAGAGACAAATTATTCAGGTCACAAAATCAATCAATGACCTTTTGTTATCTCAATAACTGGATGGTTCTAGATAAATGTAATTTTAAAATAACATTATCAACTACTCATATTAATTCTAATTATGTTAGAATTGATATTAATAATCTTGAGAACATACCCAGTCACTGGTAGTTTATTGAACTATTGTTCATATTAAGTAGTCTACTGTAGTTCAAGAATGTTTCAAGAGACCATTCATTTAACAATCATTTAAGATAATGTTTAGTAGAAGAAAAGTAACACTTTGATTATTCTGAATGACAATAATACCAAATGCTACTGTTCTACATACATTCTGTTTTCTTTTTTATGTTAGAAATTTGGTAGAATTATATTATTCATCTTAAAATTTTATTTGCATGTTACTATGCCATTTTGTTTCTCTATAAATAAGATTATAATAACCAATCATAGATTCTACAATCGACTGACGTTATTGTTATGAATAATAAATAATTATGCAATAATCATTATACATAATTCATTAGGAGGTAATGACTACTGTAATAAACAATAAACGGAAGTTTTTTCAAACTATGTAAATAACATTTAATATAAGTTTACTTTATTTATACATTAGTTCTGATAAAAATCAAATTATGAATCAAATGTAAATGAATAGATTGAATTTTAAATGAAGTCAATCGTCTAATTGAAATCTACTTATTGAAAAAGATATTCCTATGTTTTAATGAAGATAAAACTCTAAGGAATAAGTTTCGTATTCAACTTGAAAACTGAACAATAAATACTGTCATAAAGATTGAGATAAAATAAGAAATATGATATTGTTGTGTAAAAACTGCTGAGGAGTCTCACAATAGAAAGAAACAACCATCCAATGCTTCAAGGTTTTCCTTGGTGGTCTAGCTTCAAATGACTCATGATCTCAACTATTGAGATTAAAAATGATTTGTCTAATATATACTAATGCATAAATCAATTATACATATAGTTCATTTATGGTGTTAAATGAATTATATACTTTGTATATTTAATCATGGGACGAATTTCAAACAGGTACGTTAACAAAAAGTTATTTTTCTAGTAATTACCTGAGTATTTTGAAATTAAATTTACAAAAAAAACATTACTAGAATGGGAGTTTGTGGAGATTGCAATAATTTTTAATAGATGGATTCTATGCTATACAACCATTACAACCATTGAAAACCTGAAAGAACTGGACGACTATTTCGTCCTAGTATAGAAATATTCAGTAGTGCACATCCACAATCTCTCTTCAAAAGGACTTTAATGCACGACGTTAGGTCTCACGTGTAAACGCTTAACCTCTAGACCACTGAACTGACCGGTATTCAACGGTGTTATTGTCTAACTTCATCCAATTTACGAAATTGAGTGACTATCTTCTATTATCTGAGGTAGATACTTGTCTCTACCCGACACGGATTGGACTTCTCTGGTCAAGTTTTTAATAGTGTTCTAGCTTAATTTGACCTATGAATTCATCTACTAAAAAAACATTGTTTAAAATGAGTTACAAATGAATGTTTACAGCAACATTCATAGAGCACAGTTGTGAAACCATACAAACAGCATTATTTATGTTCAATTATATAAGACCTCTTACATAAAGAACAATTCGTTTATCATTTTTTCCCCTCATATTATTTCGAACAGTATTCGTAAGTTTATTGAAAATTTTATGATAAACCAAAGTATCTAAACGTTACATTATTGATTATTATTTAAATGTATTTTTTCTGGTCAAAGAAACAAACTGTTATTTAGTTGTTACCCATTTATTTTAAATATATACATATATGGGTAAATATATATATTGAGTCACCACCGTTTTTCCCTTTTATAAATTTAATAATATTCTAAACTCATTTGTCTACAGTTATTGTTTATATCGATCAACAAGTTGATTTATGATTTTCTTTCATAAAATAAAAAAAGTTTTGTCATAATTTTACGTAGAAATTACAATTAGTTTCATGACGTTGTTGTTGACAAGATCCCCCCCTCCAAATAAAACAAAACCAAATCATATAACTGTCTTTATGTGAATCAAAGTCAGTAATAACATTGAGTGTCAAATTTTAACATAATGTCAATAACGCTATTTCCAACGTTTAACTATTAATAAGATGATCTAATTGAAAACAATTGTTCGCTTATATATGTTGTTCTAATTTTCACAATGGGAATCTTTAATACTGTTATCTACTTAAATATTAGTTTTAATGACTGTCAAAATTTCTTCACAGTGTAACGTGATAAAAAAAGATAATCTCATGTAATGTATTTCCGAAAAGTTCTTGATGATAAGCTATAACGTGCTATATTAATGATATCAGAAGTAAAATAGTAAATAAACGATACCATTCAATAAATGTCATAATATATCGAAATTTTAACTACAAAGGTTTTGACTTAAAGGTTTATATTTATCATGTTCAACTAAAAGTCCTAAAATGATATAACTATAATGATACAGTTATTCTTCATGTTTTACCAATATCTTGATTTAATAATTCTATGATTTTTGGTTGAAATCATGAATCGACCGATGTTAGGCCACCATTGAAAAGCTAGAAGTGGTAGACGGTCGTTTCGTGCTAGTATGGAACTAATCAGCAGTGCGCATCCACGATTCCGAAGCAAAGGAACTCGTATCCATGAATTTAGGTGTCACACACGGACGCTTAACCTCTAAACCACTGGACTGACCGGCATTCAACGGTGTTGATGTCTAACTTCAACCAATCCACGAAGCTGCATGGCCATCTTCCACTGTTTGAGGTAGATACCTGTCTCTGCCTGACAAGGATTAACTCCTAACATCGGTCGATTTATGATCTCAATCAAAAA